TAATGGGAACAATTGGAGATTACACCATGTGTATACTTTATCAATTTATATCTTTCTTCTCTTATATCTGTCTTGCTGTCTCCTTAATAGTGAACTGATGGGAACCTACCTCCCTAGAAGGCAGGATGCTCTGGATATTATTGTTTAAGCATCAATAAGTGACTAGGGCTTCTTGATTAAGGTGAAGGGTAGAACATACACATTAACTTTCTCTATCTCTTAAACTCCCATAAAGCAACAGTCATGGAATAATAATTATAATAATAAAACCTAACATGACACAGAGAATAAAAAAGAAGATAATAGGTCTACATTTTTGGAATCTGAAAGGACTCAAGGAAGCTCAATCTTAAAAAATAATATGATTCATATGAGAATCCCTTTTGCACACACATGCACACGCGCTCACAGACACACATGCCTATGCATACAGATACCCTAAAAGCTTAGGAAATGGTAATACAAAGTAATTTCTGAAAATGGGAGTGAATTGAAGGTAGGGCTAAAAATGGAAGCATGGGGACACCTGGGTGGTTCAGTCGTTTAGGCATCTGCCTTTGGCTCAGGTCACGATTCCAGGATCCTGGGATCTAGTCTTGCATCTGGCTCCTTGCCCATCAGGGAGCCTGCTTCTCCCTCTGCCTGCCGCTCCCTCTGCTTGTGCTGTCTCTCTCTCCCTCTCTCTGACAAATAAATAAATAAAATCTTTAAAAAATTTTAAAAAATGGAAGCATGTTTGAATATTCCTTTAAGAACAATGAGATCCTGCTATCCCTTCCTAACTTCTGTACAGTGAAGTGAATCTCCCTTCTTCTACTCTGGCAGGATATATAAGTTTATTATCCAGAGAAGATAAAACTGAAGGTCTCTAGACTGAAAAGGAGGGAGTTGTACTACAACTATAGGCAAAGAAGATTCTTCTATGGGGAATCCACTGATAGCCAGAGCTATTTAGGGAAATGACCCAGCACCCCCATATATAGAGAATCTCAGTCATTGAACAGTACTCCCTGAGAGTTTATCATCAGCTTCCATATGAACTGATGATTAGGAATCAGAAAATATCTTAGGAAAATTAAAGATCAGCAAGAAATCTTAGAAGAAACTGATAGAAGACCTGAGAAGAAGACTTGGACAAACTGTCATTAGTGCCCTCAGGGAGGGAGAACCCCTGATAGATGGTGCTTCAGCTGTGTTCCTTGGTAGGAAGTGATGGGTCTTCACGACTAATATAGAGGCACTCCTGTAGCACATGACCCCCTTGTAGACCACATTCCAGATCCTGGGTCCTGACACTCCTTGTATAGCACACCCCAGTTCCATTCCCAGGGTCTGCAAGCCTCTTTCCTGTCTCTGTCCTTCTGAGTGCCTTCTAACACAGTGTGCTTAGAGGGAAGGTTGTGTATATAAAATGTGGATGGAGTTTGGGTATGTGGTCTGAGTCCACATGTGTAAGCATGGGGTCATTATAGATGAAAAGTCTTCCATACTGCTTAGCGTAATGGATGATTATAGACCATATTTATGCTGAATATTGTATAATTTGACATTGTAAGACACTATAAACAACAGGAGATCCTATAAGCTTTCTGAGAGGGAAAACCCTACAACCACCAAAAAAATGTCATATACAAATGATCAGAATCAGAAAGGCTTCAAACATCTCACTAGTGACACTGAAGTCAAGAAGGGAATGGAGCAGAACCTTCAAAGGTCTAAAAGAAAAAAATTCTAAACTATACTTCTATATGTGAATTATTAATTACGTAAGTGAACAGAATATATTTTCAGAAATTTACAGTTTCAAAAAGTTGTCTCCCATGAATTCCTTTTCAGAAGCTATGGAATGATGTATTCCTCTAACAAGGGAATAAACAGAGAGAGGAGAACAAATGTGTACTGAGACAAATGAGAAGGCTCTAGAAAAGACAAAGAATATCAAAGTTTCAATGTATATGAGTATATTTCAAAGTGATTTTGACAATTGGAGATTGGAGTTCAATGTTGTAATAAGTTTATAGGAAAATAAGGTGTCAACCCCCTACCTCTTTCCAAAACAGGCAGTTTTTAACTGTACGACAAGAAAAGGCAAGCAATCGGCATATTTATGGCTTAGTTGTGAATCTTAATATCAGAAATAATGACTATTGATTTAACTAAAGTTGCAATAGAAATCTAAGGGGATTTGTGCTTCCTAGAAGTGGAGATGGGGAGAGGGTGTTGGTTGGTTTGAGAGGTTGATCCTTGTATTTCACAGTAGGAGGTCAGTAGATAATGCTGGAAACTGAAAAATGCAGTAGCAATGTAACTCTGGGGTCTGGTGATTTAAGCTGATAATGATATGGAAACTTAGAATGAAAAAAGCTGTCTTTGGAGGGTTTTATCCCTTCAGTAACTATGTCACTCTTTATGTGAAAATTATTTTAAAAATATTAAGATTTAAGGTTTAAAATTTTTTATTTAAGTGTAGCTGACACCCAATGCTACAGTAATTTCAGGTGTACAATATAGTACTTCAGTGTCGCTATATGTTATGCTTACCATAAGTATAGCTCCCATCTGTCACCATACAGTGTTATTATAATATCATTGACTATATTCCCTATGTTGTGCCTTTTATTCCCTTGACTTTTTCATTCCATAACTGGAAGCCTGTATCTCCTACTGCCCTTCAGCCACTTTGACCATCTCTCTACCCCTCTTCCCTCTGGCAGCCATTAGTTCTCTGTAATTTATAGGTCTGATTCTGCTTTTTGTTTATTTGTTTTGTTTTTTAGATTCCACATATGAGTGAAATCATATGGTATTTGTCTTAGTCTGACTTATTTCACTTAGCCTAATATTCTCTAGGTCCATCTGTATTGTGGCAAAGGGCAAGATATCATTCTTTTTATGGCTGCATAATAATCCATTATATATACATATATACATACATACCACATTTTTTTTTACTCTGTTCATCAATTGACAGACACTTGGGCTGTTTCCCTATCTTGGCTATTAAAAATAATTCTGCAGTAAACATAGGGGTCCAGATATCTTTTTGAATTAATATTTTTTTCCTTTGTGCAAATACCAAGTAGTGGAATTTTAGATCATATTATATTTCTCTTTTTAATTTTTTGAGGAAACTCCATACTGATTTTCACAGTGGCTGTGCCAATTTCCTTTTTTTCCCCACATCCTTGCCAATACTTTTTATTTCTTAACTTTTTGATTTTAGCCATTTTGACAGGTGTGAGGTGATAGATACCTCATTGTGGTTTTGATTTGCATTTCCCTGATGATGAGTGATGTTGAGCATTTTTTTCATGTGTCTTCAGGCCATCTTTATGTCTTCTTTGGAAAAATATATGTTCAGGTCCTCTACCCATTTTAAAATCAGATTTTTTTTTTTGGTGTTGAGTTGTAGAAGTTCTTTATATTTTTAAAATATAGATATATCATTTGCAAATAATCTTCTCCCATTCAGTAGGTTGCCTTTTTGTTTTATTGATAATTCCTTTGCTGTGCAGAACCTTTTTATTTTGATGTAGTCCCAGTAGTTTATTTTTGGTTTTGTTTTCTTTGCTTTAGCAGACATAGCCAGAAAAATGTTCTGACAACCAGTGTCAGAGAAATTATTGCCTGTTCTTTCTTCTAGACTTTTTCTGGTTTTAGGTTTCACATTTAGGTCTTTAATCCTTTTGAGTTTATTTTTTGTGTATGGTGTTAGAAAATGTTCCAGTTTCATTATTTTGCCTGTAATTGCACAGTTTTCCTATTTATTGAAGGAACTGTCTTTTCCCCATTGTATATTCTTGCTTTCTTTGTTATAGATTAATTGACCATATAAGCATGGGCTTATTTCTGGGCTATTTTGTTTTATTGATCTATGTGTTTATTTCCTTTTGTGCCAATGCCATACTGTTTTGATTACTATAGCTTTTAGTATATCTTGAAATCTGGAAGTATGATACCTCCAGCTTTTTTCTTCTTTCTCAAGGTTTCTTTGGCTATTTGGGGTCTTTTGTGGTTTCATACAAATTTCATTATTTGTTTTAGTTCTGAAAAAATGCTGATGGTACTTTGATAGGGATTACATTGAATTATAGTTTTCAAACTATAGGTTTTTTACTTCCTTGGTTAAGTTTATCCATAGGTATTTCATTCTTTTTGGTGCAATTGTGAATGTGATTCTTTTCTTAATTTCTCTTTCTGCTATTTCATTATTAGTGCATAGAAATGCTACTGATTTCTGGGTATTAATTTTGTATCCGCAACTTTACTGAGTTCATGTACTACTAATAGTTTTTTGCTGCATCTCCAAAATTTTGGATCATTGTGTTTTCATTTTCATTTGTCTCCATGTTTTTTGATTTAACCAAGGAGGTAAGAGACTTTTACAATGAAAACTTTAAGACCCTGATGAAAGAAATTGAAAATGATGCAATGGAAAGATATTTTATACCCAAGGATTAGAAGAATTAATGTTAAAATGTCCACACTACCCGAAGCAATCTATAGATTCAGTGTAATCCCTTAAAATACCAATAGCATTTGGGGCACCTGGGTGGCTCTTTTGGTTAAGCAACTAACTCTTGATTTCATCTCAGGTCATGATCTCAGGGTCATGCGATAGAGCTCTGCATTGGGCTCTACGCTGAGCATGGAGACTGCTTAAGGTTCTCTCTCTCCCCCTCTCCTCCTCTTTCCACACCTCCCCCTCCTCCTCATGCTTGCACTCCCCGACCCCTGCAAAATATGTGTATATATGCCAACAGCATTTTTCACAGAACTGGAACAAGTTCACCTAAGTCTCAAAATACTTTTCTAATCATAAAGGAAACTCTGTTAAATGAGGATTGATGTGCCATAGAGATAGGCTTTTAATGTAGATATGTGTTTAACTGTTCAAAGATTTTTTTCCAGTGGATTTTGACAAGGATGAAGTTGAATATATGATGATATTTTTTAGGTTGAAATGTATTTTCTTTCATTAATTTTAGTTTTATTTTCAGGGTGACCGTGGACTTCCTGGTTTTCCTGGGCTTCACGGAATACCAGGATTAAAGGTTGAAAAAAAATCTAGTCTTTTAATATTCAGTAATGTTGCATTTTATTTTAAATTAAAACTTCTTTATGTTACAAATGTGTTATAAATGCTCAAATGTAAAGTATATTAAAGTAGATGATTGGACTACTATCATAATTTACATAAAGCTTTTTGCAAATTTTCTTTAAAATTTCCAGTCACAAATTTTTTGGTATTTAAACATTGATGAGTAAGTTTTAATATATGGAAATTCTTTTAACTATAAGCCCTGTATCCTATAAGGATACCAACTATCCTTATTTTTCCTTGTTTTTCTTCATAAAGCCTCAAAAATAGGGCTTTTATAAACAAAGCTTAAATTATTTCTATTTTATTTTATATTGGCAATTAAACTTTGTTTATAATTGGTGCTGTTTTTTTTTTTTCTTTAAGGTTTAAGGGACATTTTCATATTTCTCTAAAATTCAGTAATTTAATTCCAGTTAGTGAACATACAGTGTCATATTAGTTTCAGGTGTACAATATAATGATTCAACAATTCTCTACCTCATTACTCAGTTCTCATCATAAGTTTACTCTTAATCCCCGTCACCTATTTCACCCATCCCCCACATCCCATCTGATAGGCTTTATTTTAAATGAATAAAGTTGTCTTTTTTTTTTTCAACAAAAACTTGAAGCATACTTCAGAGTACATGGTTTGAAAAGATATATTTAAAACAAGAGAAATAGAATACACATTTTCTTCAGGTACACACAGAAGGATTCCCTGGTTAAATCACATAAAAATAGACATAAATACTGGAATTTTAAAATAAAAAATTAAAATAACTAAAAATAAAATTCAATATTTATATTTTGTCTTTTAGGGTGAAATGGGCCCCAAAGGAGATAAAGGATCAACTGGATTTTATGGCAAAAAGGGAAGTATGGATTATAAAACAAAGTATCTGTATGGAACTTTGGATGTCATAGAAGTAGAAAACTTGTATTTCAGTCCCAGCTCATTCACCATTATAGCAGTTAGCTTTGTTCAACTTTCTCAGGAAATTTATTTAGAATAATGAAAAAATAGAATAATACCTGGTGTGTGGTATTTTATAAGAATACATCATGTTATTGATCATTCTGAATTTTTAAAGTATTTATAGAGAGAGATTCCTTGGGAGGACGTAGGAGCTGCTTAACAGCATGTCCATGGAGAATCAGTTACGGGCCTTCTGATTTCCTCACATTGAAGGATGATTATATTTTCTGTATATTATATTTACAATACTCACTGCTTTTTAATTTTGCCAAGATGTGGTTTCTGTTTTTAGATGCTTGAAATCCTGCATTCACCATTGCTTTTTAATGTCTCTGTGTCCACTGGCCTGGTAAAATAATGCTTTGCCAGGAGTTGTAGAGCCAACTCTATCTGTAGTTACATGAATTCTGTCATGACGTAAAGAGGTTAACTTTTTAACTTAAGTTTGAGTTGGAATTTTTAAAATCATTATTGTACCTCCTCTGGGGATGGTGTCTAGAGGCATTCCCAATGGTCCAGCTAACATCACAGGCTATTCTACAATACAGCCTCTAGCAAAACTAGGCTGTCCAGAACCTCTGGTAAAAGAATTGTTTACCTTTGTACCAAGAAAAAGTTGGGAAACCACCAAGATCCACATGTGTGTGCCCAAGCCAACTTCAAAGAATTTGTGCTGTGAGACCTAAAGTCTTAGGAATTTGCCTGAAATGAAAAAACATGTCAGCAGGGCACATTGTGTTTCCATGTGTGCTAAATATGCCCATGCCAAGGTCAAGCATGCTTGCTGTATTGAGCAGAAAATCATTGTGGATGTGTTGAAGACGCAAGCACAGAGTCAGAAAGCTAAGCAAACAAAAAATGAAGCTTTTTTGAGTAATAAAAATAAAAATTAAAAATAAAATTATTGCATGGATTGTTTTCCAAGTGTTTGTTTTTAATACAGGGTGCAAAAGGGGAAAAGGGAAATGCTGGATTTCCTGGCCTTCCTGGACGTGTTGTGAGTTTGATAGAAAAAGCTCTTCAGTATTTTACTTTAAATAAAAATTGTACTGTCTTCTTTTAGAAAGAAAAATTAGTGCAAAAAATATATTAAAATACATGTGTTTATTTTTTAGGGAGAACCAGGAAGACATGGAAAGGATGGATTAATGGGTAGTCCTGGTTACAAGGTATTTTCATAAAAAAAACAAAATATTTCTGTAATTTGTGAGTGAACATTAGAAAAATGTACTGATACTTGACTTTGTTTACATTACGACATTGGTATAAAATGAGCTGAAAGTTGTTTCACTGTAATTTAAAAATGGTAGTAAATTTCTTTTGAGTCTATTGTGAATTCTTAGGTGTTAGAAATAGAATCTCTGGATATTAGAAGGTTGAACTTCGTTGATAAGCCATTCAGATTGGTTTGTTTGGTGGGTTAGAGGCAGAGGTACCAAGCTCTTATCTACCAATAAGGGAGGTACTTGGGTGGGAGGTACGGGGACTTCATCCTTAACCTTAACAACTTCTTTTATCAGTTGTGTGATATTAGTATGAGAGAATTAGACCAAGAGGAACTGCAAAGTGCCTGTCATTCACCACCCTTAAAAAACTCAAGGCACATGCCCTTACGATGATGGGTTAGCACCATCATATTCTTACATAAAGAAACTTTTTGGTTAATAATCAAATAGAAATGGGCTTTCTATGCTGTAGCTTGTTAAATAAAAGGATATCAATCCTGTGCATATATTTAAGTCAGTCTACCTGGAATGTGCCAACAGCCCACATAATTGTTCTGCTATAAGTTTTTTGAATACCTAAGGAGAGGATTTGTGTAATCCATCAACCAGTGAGGCCACTTGGTCAAGCGTTGGATTTAGAGATGTCATCATGTTCCCTAGTCACCAGGCCAAACTTGCTCAGAAATCCAGTTCAGATTTTCTTGGTCTGCTACTGATTTCTTTTTTGTTGGACAAATTATTCGTTTATTTGCTTAAGTATTATGAAAGTTCCCCAAATATCCATGACTCCTTAAATATTATAAATAGTGCTTCCTGAATTTAAAATATTGGGGCTCATTTGCTAACCCATCATCATAAGAGCTCAGTCATGTGTTAATTATATTTCACTGGTTCTGTATTTTATTTCCCATTTGTTAATTAAACAGGTATTTATTGATATTTATTAGGTGCTAGACATACGAGGGGAAGAAGACCGTCACAACCCTTATTTTTATGGAGTTTGTAATCTAATCTCTCTTTATTAAAGAACACAGATTCTTTTCTTTACCTGCAAATTTGGCATTCAGCTAATTTAATTTTTCTTTGTCTTCTGTTACCATTAGCCCATGTGCCCCAAGAAATGAGATTATAGTTTTGGGGGGTACTAAGGTTTAGAGAATAGAACTGAATTGGATTCCCACCACTTGGTGACTTTTTCTAACCAGCTGTATGTCCTTTGACAAATACTTTGACCTTCCAGTTTTCTCCATTTAAAAAATGGGATAAATGTTACCTACTTAGAATGGTGTGGTAGGGACTGAGAACAATAGAGCACCCAGCATAGTACTTGTCAGAGTATATATTCAATAAGGAATTAGTTTCTTTGTCCATTTTTTGATTAGAACATTGCTTTGAGATCCTTTTTTGAGCTTTTTTTTAAAAACCCACTTTATTGAGGTATGAGTGACATACAGAAATTACATATTTCCTGTGTACAACTTGGTGAGTTTGTACATGAGTATATTCTCGAGAAACCATCACCACAATCAATGCCATAAACATATCTGTCACCTCCAAAAGTTTCCTCCCTCTCTATTTTTTTTCGTGATGACAGCATTTAACGTAAGGTCTGCCTTCTTAGCTCATTTTAAAGTTTTCACTACAGCATTAACTGTAGGCACTAAGCTGTACAGTAGATTTCTAGGACTTACTCATTTTACATAAATGAAACTTTACCCTTTGACCAATACTCCCCTGTTTCTCCCTCTCCCCAGCCCCTGATAACCACCATTCTACTCTCTGCTTCTGTGAATTTGACTGTTTTAGATTCCACCTGTAAGTGGGATCATATAGTATTTGTCTTTCTCTGTCTGGTCTATTTCACTTAGCATATGTCTTCTGGGTTCATCCATGTTGTAACAAATGGCAGGATTTCCTTCTTTTTTGAGGATGAAGCATATGTCTGTGTGTGTGTATGTGTCTATATGTCTTATCTGTGTCTATCTAGATATCACATTATTCAACTGTCAACAGACATTTAAGTTGCTTTTATGTTTTGACTATTGCGAGTAATGCTGCAGTGGACATGGCACTACAGGTATGTCTTCGAGATCCTGATTTCCATTCCTTTGGATATATACCTGGAAGGAAGATTGCCGCAGCATATAGTAGTTATCTCTTTAATTTTTTGAGGAACCTCTGTAACTGTTTTCCATAGTGACTATATCAATTTACATTCCCACCAACAGTGTACAGGGCTTCTAGTTTTTCCACATCCTTTGCAAGTTTTTTTTTTTTTTTTTTGGCTAATAGCCCGAACAGATTTGAGATGATATTCCATTGTGGTTTTGATTTGCATTTCCCCATTGATTAGTGATGTTGAGCTCCTTTTCATATACTTGTTGGTCATTTATGTCTTTTTGCAGAAGACTATTCAGTTCCTTTGCCCATTTTTAAATTGGGTTGTTATTATTACTGCTATTGAATTGTAGGAGTTCCTTATATATTTTGGATATTAACCCTTTATCAGATAGATACATGGCTTGCAAATATTTTCTCCTAATATGTGGGTTGCCTTTTCATTTTGTTGATGGTTTTCTTTTTTGTGCAAAAGCCTTTTGGTTTGATGTAGTCCCACTTGTCTAATTTTGCTTTTGTTGCCTATGCTTTTGGTTCCTGGATTGTACATAGGAATTTTGGGATTCTTTTTTCTATTTATATAAAAAATGCCATTGGGATTTTGATAGGGATTTCATTGAATCTGTAGGTCATTTGTGGTAGTGTGGACATTTTAACAATTAAAAAATGTTCCAATCCATGAACTAGGGATTAGGAATGGCTTTTCATTTATTTGTGTCTTAATTTCTTTCATCAATGTTTTGTAGTTTTTAGTGTATAAGTCTTTCTCCTTTTTGGTTTAGTTTATTTCAAATTATTTTATTATTTTTGATGCTATTATAAATATGGTTGCTTTCTTAATTTCCTTTTTGTATGGTTTGCTGTTAGTGTATAAAAATGCAATTGACTTTTGTATGTTGATTTTGTATCCTGCCACTTTACTGAATTTATTAGTATTGACAGTTTTTTAATGGAGTCTTTAGGTTTTTCCATACATGAGATCATGTTATCTACAGAGATAATTTTATTTCTTTTACAATTTAGATGTTATTTATTTCTTTTTCTTGCCTAATTTCTCTGGCTAGTATTTCCAGTACTGTGTTGAAAAGAAGTGGCAAGAGTGGGCATCTTTGTCTTGTTCCTGCTCTTAAAGGGAAAGCTTTCAGTTTTTTTTTTCATTAAATATGTTCACTGTGGGTTTTTCATGTATATGTCATCTTTATTGTGTTGAGTTAAATTCCTTCTATACCTAGTTTTTTGAGAGTTTTAATCATGAAATAGTGTTGTTTTGTCAAATGTTTTTTTCTACATTTCTTGAGATGATGTGATTTTTATCTTTTTTTCTGTTAATCTGATGTATCACATTGATTTGCATATACTGCCATCTTTGCATCCCAGGGATAAATCCCACTTGATTATGGTGGATGATCCTTTCAATATGCTGTTGAATTCAGTTTGATATTATTTCTTCAGGACTTCTTCACGTATGTTCATCAAGGATATTGGCCTGTAGTTTTCTTTCCTTGTGGTTTTATTATCATGCTAATACTAACCTCATAAAATGATTTGGGAACTGTTCCCTCTTTAATTTTTTGGAAGATTTTAAGAAGGATTCATATTAATTCTTTAAATGATTAGTGGAATTTATCAGTGAAGTCTGCCTGTCCTGGGACTTTCTTTATTTTAGGAGATTTTTTCATCACTGATTCAATCTCCTTATTTGTTATTGGTCTGTTCAGGCTTTCTCTTTCTTCTTAATTCAGTCTTGTTAGGTTTTATGTTTCTAGGAATTAATCCATTTCTTCTAGTTTTTCCAGTTTGTTGGCATATAATTATTCATGAGTCCCTTGTGATCTTTTTTATTTCTGTGGCATCAGTTATAATGTCTCTTCTTTTGTTTCTGATTTTATTTGAGTCTTCCCTTTTTTTTCTTAGTCTAGCTAACTAAGGATCTGTCCATATTTTAGATCTTCTTAAAAAATAAACTCTGGCTTTAATTATTTTTTCTTTTGTTTTTGTATTCTCTGTTTCATTTATTCTTGCTCCAATCTTAATTATTTCCTTCCTCCAGCTAACTTTGGGCTTGGTTCTTTTTTTTCTAGTTTTTGCCCTTTTTAAAAAAAAAAGATTTTATTGATTTATTTGAGAGAGCAAGCCCACAAGAGGGTGGGAGAGGCAGAGGGAGAAGAGGAAGCAGACTCCCCGCTGATCAGTGAGCCCTACTTGGGGCTCAATCCCAGGACCCTGGGATCATGACCTGAGCTCAAGGCAGATGCTTAACTGACTGAGCCACCCAGGTGTCCCTAGTTTATTTCCCTTTTTGATATTAATCTGGATAGTGTGTTTGCATGAACATACCTACAAGTGTAAACCTTATTTCACTTTTTAACAGGTTTATTCATAAATAAGCCACACGTTATAGAGGTTACCTATTTAATTTATTGCACACACAATTCAGTGATTTTGAGTATATTTATAGAGTTATTCAGTCATCAGTGCCATCTAATTTTAGAACATTTTCATCACTTCAAAAAGAAATCTTATACCCATTAGCAGTCACTCCCAATTTCCTCCCAGCCACTTATGCTCTATTTTTAGCCCTCTGTAACCTCTAATCTACTTTCTATCTTTGTGGATTTGCCCATTCTGAATATGGAGTTTTAGTTTGCATTTCCATGATGACTGGCAATGTTGATATCTTTTTATGGGCTTCTTGGCCATTGGTGTTATCTTCTTTTGTGAGATGTCTATTCAAAACATGTGACCAATTAAAAAAATTTGGGTTTTTATCTTATTAATGAGTTGTAGGATTTCTTTATGTGTTCTGGCTATAAGTTCTTTATCGG